AGCTATCCGAGGAAGAATTAACAAACTACACAGGCCCTACGCATTACATTGCCCATCACGAAGTACTCAAACCAGAATCGAAATTTACTCCAGTCCGTATAGTTTTCAACAGCAGTGCGAACTATATGGGGCACGTATTAAACGAGTATTGGGCAAAGGGTCCTGACTTGCTCAACAACTTGTTAGGCGTCTTGATACGCTTTAGAGAGAACAGAGTTGCTTTCATGGGAGACATTAGGAAAATGTACCACACAGTGAAAACGTCGGAGTTAGACCAACATACTCACCGATTTCTTTGGCGCGACATGGATAGTACGAGAGAACCAGACACCTATATAATACAGCGAGTGTCATTTGGAGATAAACCGTCCGGCACGATCGCCACTGTAGCATTGAGAAAAACGGCAGAGATGATGCGCAAGAATTATCCGGAAGCAGCAGACATAATTCAAACCAACACTTACATGGACGATATCATCGAAAGCAAAGATAACATTGCACTGGCCCGTGACCTTAGCCAAGACATAGAGAAAGCTATTATTAAAGGAGGATTTCAAGTTAAAGAGTGGATATTCTCAGGAGATATTAACAAGCAAGAAGAAACGATCATGGTACAGACACCGCATACGTCGACCGAAAAGATACTTGGGATCAAATGGAATCCATGTGAACAAGTAATGGGCAACCTTCCAACTGAAAGGCTGAAACCAGCCCCTCCATGGAGCAGTACAGGCATCGATTTATTTGGACCTTACAAGATTCGCGATGAAGTAAAGAAAAGAACAACATCTAAGGCGTATGGAGTGATATTCAACTGTCTAGGGACAAGAGCAGTTTACTTGGATATAGCAGCAGACTATAGTACAGACAAATTCCTAATGGTCTTCAGACGATTCGTGTCACTACATGGTTACCCATCTAAGCTATTCTCAGATAACGGTACCCAACTCGTCGCAGCAAATAAAGAGCTTTCTAATATGACCAAGACTTGGGATTGGAATAAACTAAAAGGTTTTGGCATAACTGAGGGATTTGAGTGGATCTTTACATCCGCAGACGCACCCTGGCAGAACGGAGTCACAGAAGTGGCATACATCCCACCGTAACTTAAAAACTGGAGATATCGTTCTTATACAGGACTCGAGCTTGTTAAGAGGAAAATGGAAGATCGGGAGAGTTTCTAATACATATCCAGGAACGGATGGGAGAGTCCGGAAAGTAGACGTCGAATACAAGAACATAACAAATGAGCCTGTAACTAAATATAAAGGAAAAGGCTATATAAGTGTACAGCGACCAGTACAGCGCCTAATATTAATACTGCCTATTGATGAACAGTGACTGAACTCTTAAATTTACTTGTAAATCGTATACTTACTATACCTCATTTCAGATGGGGAGTGTATTGCTTAATATGTTATCTACTGCGCTAGCTAATTAAGGCCACAATTTTCAATTCATTAATACTAATCGCATAACGTGATGACGTCATAAACGGAATTCACTGCATTACCACTTGCTAGTCAGAAGAACTGTGAGACACCACTGGATTTTGAACGCAACTACTCCAAGCATTATTCAATAAAGGAGCTGTTTAAAACCGTGGACTGAGTTAATCTTCGACTGGCAAAATAGACTCTCACTTGGAGTCACTTCACTATAGGATGATGTCAAGATTCCACAAATTTAAAGATGATGCACTACCATTATCAAAATCTTTCTCTGACTGTTCAGTGCTGCTTGATTAAATCAAGCAGCACTAAACAGTCAGAGAAAGATTTTGATAACCCTTACAACAATGTCCCCCAAGCTTGATGCAGTTGCTTCTATTATGCTCCCAATGTAAAGGTCAAGCTTCTGTTCATCGATTTTCATTGACTCCCTAGGACTGGGAGTAGCATTCTTAGCTGAAAAACTGTGAAAGAGAAAAGTATAAATAAACTTCCTATTTGCTGTTATAATATTAATGATTGATTAAAAAAGGCATTTAAATGTTATGATTGATTCTTTGGATAAAAATTGTTCCTGAAGCACAGCATGCACTATGTTTTCTATAGTACTATGTTGTCTTGAAAATATTCGGTTTTGATCCTATCCCTTGTTTGCACTTGCCTGGTATCCTTTCCACTTGCCACAGTCTCAGATTTTTGACAACTCTGCTTATGAAATGGTGAAGCGCGCGCATTTTATTCTCATTTCACGCGTGAAAAAATTTACTTGCCGCGACAAAACCTTTCCGAATTCTCATTGTTTTTAACTATACAAAACGCTGAAAGATCGAAACCTAGTCAAATTTTTTCCTACCATGTGTCATTTTGGACTACCTACAAGTCCACCCGAAGCGATGCTATTCCGTCGATCTCTAAGACTGTTGTTGTTGTTGTTGTTGCCATGCTTGTATTGTTGCTTCATTCGTATAAAAGACGTATTTTGATTATGTAAGACCTGCGCATCTTGATCTAGCAGACTCTAATGTTTATTAGTTGGCCGTAGTTGTCAATAAGTAAGAATAGGATTTCCTTGCGCTTGCTTTGGTACCCGCCCTTTGGAGTTTTTTCGGTCCCCAGCTCCGTTTTTTTTTCCATGCTCCATGTTCATTTCAAACGGTGTCACTGTTTACTTAAGTTTTGGGGATATGAGTCCAACGAAAAACAGTAGTGAAAATATTTGCGTGATGCATAGAATTTGTTCAATGAGAAGCTAAGTGATCGCAAAAGTAACATTGTAAACGCCGTGCAAAATGTTGATTTTATATATTATATCTTATTTCTGCTTTAACATTACTTTTAGCTAACCCTTTCCCCTTATTCAGTTATTTATTCTTGACGTCAAATTTCCTTGCGTTTACATCTGGTCTTTGATTTCCTCCGCTCTGTCTCTTCGCTTCCTCTTTCGACACATAAATTCTTCTTCTTCTTTTCATTTAAAGACAACTCAACTTTATGTATGCAGGAGCCCAAAGGCCTGGCACACGACAAATTCCGAATTTTCCCGGCGAATTATAGCTAGGAGCTCATTTTAACCACCCTAAGTACAAAAAAAATTAATAATGAATAGTACTCACGTTGAGAGAATTCATCTCTTTGATTCCTTCCATCACTTCCTTGAATTTTCTTACGAATGACTCATGAAGAGCCCAACTCCAACCAACGCAAAGTTGTAATGACGGGTTGTAATTTTCGCGCGTCGTGATGACGTAACAGACGAGATAATGAACTAATCAACAGATTAGCAAGTATACGTAACTTCTGCTTCCTTTTCAAGCGCCTTTGCACTGGTTTAAGAAAGCGTGGGAAACTTCCCGAGTGCGCAGACTGCTGGATAGGAGGATATTGACAGGTTTTAATAAACGGTCACCCATAACTGCCTCAGGTTCTCATTTACTCAAAGCGATTGCAAAAACAACGGATAAGTCCTAGAAACGAGACTGAGAAAGATTGGCAGCTTGTCAGGAAAAATAAAGGGGTCCGTCGTTCCGCAAGTAAACCAGTCAAGGGCTGTCGGTTGCTTTAGCCACCACGACGCACTGACCACTGACTGCGAGAAGTTAGCACAGACTTCTTCGCAAATGAAAGGTTCTGGATAGGAGAATGAGAAAGATCGGGAGCTTTCCAACAAATTTTGAAAAGAGCGTGTCCTCCCGCAAGAAAACCAAGTCTTCAAGCAAGCTGTTTTGTCGTTAATGCCTGGTTTGCTTGCGAACATATGTAAATGAGAAAAACATATGAGCGCTAAGTTCTGCTTCGTACGTAGCATGAAACCACTTGGCTATAAATTAACCAACATCCCTCGCCATGAATGATACAAAAGAGATGATCTTAAACCTTTGACCGAAAGCAATGACCATCGATTAAGTAATTTTTGGCCACAAGTTCATTACACAGTTTGACGGACAGGCAATGAAAAGACAAAAAGTGACTAAACTGGATTGAAGCTTTAATGTCGAAACAAATTGTCGATATCGGAAAACATGAAAATATATATAGGGCTCCAGTTATGAACATCCATTTTCAGATGCTGGGAGTGAGTACGTAGCTTCAAAAAACTGGAAAAGTTTCTAGAAAGTATTTCACTTCAGATATCATGGTTCATTTTACCTGTTCTGTGAGCGTCTTGTGATACCCCTGGGGTATGGCTGAGGACGCCACCAGGTTTAATAAGTCTCATTAACTACATGTAAATAGACCTCTTTTAATGTGCCGGAAATGTTTTCATTCTTCGATGCCCATGCAAATATCCTTCTTGGCCTCGCTTTTAGGTGAAAATCCCATTCTTTCAGACATGTTGTCGGGGCTGGAAAGGCCAACTTACGTCAATGAAAAAAACAACAGCAACTAAGCCGCCATTTATAAAGAAAAAAATTAAGGAAACGAATTACGGAACAGAACAACGAATAATACTGGAATCTAAATCTACACAAAATTGAAGGAGTTCTTTTTATTTCTCTCTACAAAATATAAATCATCATCAAACATAATCACACCGCGGATTTAATATTTAATAAGGCTATTTTATGTTGCGGCTAACAACATACGTATCCTTCACTATTATTGTCAAGGTCGTTTCTTGACAAATATCCATAACATACATTGCAGATCTATCGATTTAATTTGAAATGTTTACAATATAATTTAAAACTACTCTTGAAAACTTATGTAACTTTAAACAAAATGTCACCTCTCCTTAGGTACAAAGTAGCTGAGCCAAAACTGTTTCTCTCATAAAATATGGGCGATTTTTTTAATAAACCCGCCTCCTGTCCAACAAACTATTTCCAAAAGAGAAATTTTAATATATATGAATTACTTCAATTAATGTATTCTAATACTAACAAACCATATAGCATTCACACAGGGCTAAATTAATCTTTGCGCAGTTAACTCCTCGCAGTTCATGGCATTTAATTCGCTTTTGTCTTTGAAGGACTTATTAACTAATATACAACACTAAATAAGATCCCATCATGAGGGAAAATGAGGACAAGATATGCCATAAATCATTTAGTCAAAGAAATTCACGACTGCGCAGTTCTTGTTCAGATCACGGGATTTCTCAGCAGTCAGCGTCTTGTCTGTTGTCGCCTTGGCAGTAAAAATCCAAACCGCAGTACCCATACACCCTAGCGTGACTATAATATAGGAGACTTGAAAAAAGCGGAAAATTAACGTTTGAAATGTGCAACATCGATGGGTGGTCCGAAAGAACGGAATCAACACTTTACCTGTGATAGCAAGGGGACAAGCTGAGATACAGCTGAACAAGAACATGTCAGGGAAATCAAACTGAATTCCATAAGACAGCGGGAGAACAATACTTATAATCACTAGGATCAAAAAGAACAACACAGCCTTTAAAATCTCATCCCATTTTTTGAGGTCACTATTCCTCAAAATGTTGTAAAACAATTGTATACCCCCCCAAGAAAGAATACTGAATATGATTTTCATTGTCAAACCATTTCATCAGGATGTTTTATAGAGAAGGGAGCCAAAGTAATTGAAAATAAACAGTGGAACTAAAAAGAAGAGGAAAAATTGTTGGCTTGTACAGGCTTTTTGCACCTTTTTCCGACAACGCACTCTTTGAAGCTGATTCCGTTATACAATGACAACACAATCAAGCCTGAAATGACAAACATGAAAGCTGTATCGAACTGGAAAGTCAACTTGGTGGGGTAAAAGTGATAAAGCATGGAAAAACACCCCTCAAAAATCAGCCCACAGGCTAAAGCGTACCCTATCGAAAAAGCGAACTTCCTTTTATGAGCTTCAGCATGCAACATTATCTCTTCTTCTAGATTGTTGGTTTGAAAATAAGGAACAGTCATTTTTGCCAGGTGACCGTTGATGTCCGGGCATTTCAAGATGTGTTTCGGTAACTCGACTTGGCCTGGCGGAAGTCGCACAGTTGACAGGTGGTTCCTACGCGCTTGCTTGTGGCACCAAGCAAACTGATAACTCGGCTTCCATCACCCACACCGACCAGGCCAGGATCAGGCCGTGAATCATGTAAACCAGGTCACTTATCATCAGGTTGAAGGGAATGTCATATCCACCAACTCTATAACAAAATTCATTGTAATAACACCTGTCCCTGCCGCCCGTATGTATCATCTCGTGCCAGTCTTCGAAGACATACTGGTATGAACCAACCAAAAGGACAAAACCGACAATACAGGTGGTGTAAGAGAATGTTTTGGGTCCTTGCGCGAACCAGTGGGTAAACAGCTCTATTTTTCATTGCTTTAAACAATTCCCTCCAAGTTAAAGGGTTTTTTTCCTTTTTTCCACGTATCAATGGCCGTAGCTCATCAGCTTGTTCGTCCTCTTTCTTTTTCCAGCAAGATGAAAACAAGCTCCTAAGATTGTCTTTCATTCGGTGACAAGCTGCCATGGGCGACGAAAAGTTTATCAATGTGTTAATCTTCCACGGCCAGTATATATGGCTCCCTGAAGCAAAAAAACTGCAATACCCCCCAAAAACGACAAAAATATTAAGAAATAGAACGGAGTTGCGTAATCATAATCAAACGAGCTTGCTAGAGCCAGTGTCACGTTTTTGATTCTAGTTTCGGACTTGCTTTTTATCGCAATGCCTATGAACCAAGGGCGACCGGTATCTTCTAGAGGCGGTAATGATGCTTTAGAGAGGGTGATTAGGCCCTATTCTGCCAACGACAGCCTCAATGATTTTTGATCCAGTGCATTTATATTCTTCACCACATCCTCGCACGTATGTGAAACTTTTAAGTAAGCTGTGATATTTATACTGCTGGATTCCACAGTTATGTCAAATTGTTTTTTTGAGATACCCGCGCTGGTTTGAACTGAATTGCTGCTGGTTGAGTGCTTGAAATCGTAAAACTCTTTGATTGACCGATATCTATAGACGAGACGTTTTCAGAAATACCCATTGCGTAACTTAGGCTTGGAGTTCCTGTTAGTAACACTGAATACTTCTGGCCGGAAGGCTTTGGACATGAAATTGACGTGCTCCAAACATGCGACACAGCAGTGTCAAGACGACCAGAGGAGGACAATTCGTCCTCACCGTACACTGTCATTTGAAGAGTTCCTGTCAAGTTAAAAAGATGATAAAGTTATTTCCCAAATGATAAAAACGAAAAATTAATCGCGCACCAATCAGATCGCTGCATGAGGGTATGTATCTCGCACCAATCAGAGCGTCGTTTTTGTTCTTTGGTTTGAGCGGTGTTCAAATTTCAACGAAGTAATGGGGGATTCGGAGAGAGCGGCTCGTAAAATGGAATCGTCTTTTAGAATGAGAAATATTAGCTTTTCTTTGTTTTTAACGTGCGAAATGCGACACTACTGGAGATTTGAAAGATATCAGATTACCTATAGTAAACGTATTACTCATGCCGTGGACCAGGAATATTCCAAAATAATGCAAATAATCGTGAAAGCTGATCGCGGCAAAGCGATTGCGTGACGCTCGGTGAGTTGTACGATGACATGTTTCCACATACCAGACGAAAAAACTCTTTAGATTCTCAGTCTGAGTTTTGTGCCCACTCGGCAGTCTACAGTGGGTTAATTCGAAATTTTCGTTCTTTTCCGCGTTGATACTCTTCTTTCCTTTTATAACAATGTAGACATCATTTACAATGTTTCATGTAAACCAGCCACCCCCCAAAAAATAACTCTTGCATGCATAGCATGCCTATGTTTTTATCAGGATGGCGCACTTTCCACACGAGGTCTTGGCGTAGAAACGACGGCTCAGCCAAAAATTTTTTAGAACAATACAGATTCTGGAACTCATTTGAAAATAAGGCTCGATGAAGTGTGAGTTGTCGAGCTCAGGGACGGAAAAGCGTGGAAAACTGGAAACCTCAAAAGCAATTCCGAACACCGAACGATTAACTCAGCCCACAGCCTGGAGCTTTGGAAATGCTGAGACACTTGAGGCACCGGGGTATTGTGCCATTTTTTTTTCAATTCCATGGTTATTCACACAGCCTCAGTGGCTAATGGTGAGAAATTTGTTTATGTTCTTGATTTTTTTTATTCCAAGAACGAAGTGAAGATTAGAAGTAAAATGTGTTTTGTTCCTTGTTCTCCGTACAACGAAATACCAGCCTAGGGAACTCAAACGAGTATACCTTCTTTTTTTGTCTTACGTACGGTGTATGGGAGAAAGGAAACAAATAATGATAATTTTAAATATATTAATAAGAATAATTAAAAAGGAACTTTTGCGTTACAGGAGTTTATACCTTGCGCGTACGCCTCAACAATATTTGAGAGTAACATAGTAGATTATTAGTAGAGGAAAGTAATGAGCGAAGGCTCTTTAGTCAGGGTCGTAGTCAAACAACCATTTTTTCCTCTTCCTTTCTAAATTGCATATTTTTTTAGAATAGCATGCTCTTAAAATACATTTTTATGACAAATAACTTTCTACTTCACTTTCTTCGTGCGCACGTGGTTTGAAGCTCGTATTTTTAGCTCGCCTCGGTGTTACCAACTTTTTACTCTGGTACCCGTATGTGGAAAAAATCAGTCCCACAGCAAAAAATTTTGCAACCATCATGCACTAGAATATTTGGCAAAATTGCAAGAGGACATAATGGAAATAATGTTGATAATGGTGAATGCAGAATAAATGCAAGATAAAATGTCTCTGGACTGAGCAGAAAGACGTTTGTAAACATATCTGAAATGTTTTTCATGTCGATATTAACGATTTAGTGAAATTTTATTCTTGCACATCATTTAATGAGTTTTTTTTTTTTAACTTCACTGCATTTTAACTACTTTTTCAAAGAGCTTGTATTGTATCACTTAGTACATAAGGTTGGTAATATGAGAAGTATTGGTATGTTGGGCTCTAAACTTCTTTTGAATGAGTCTTTAAGGTATCAATACTTTCTTCGTAAGACCTGGAAGAGTCTGCCTAAGTTTTGCTTATACTTAATAAGTGTATAGGCAAAAGGGATTTCAAGATCTCCGCCAGAAGAGATATTTGTGGCATTTATAAGAACAAATTCGTAGCCACAACTTAAAAATGTGATGAAGTTTATGGCACGTTGATTCTTTATTGGCACACTGTGAGGTGAAGGATTCTCCCCATATCTCTCACTTAACCAGAATCTTGTTGCATGACTACAACGAAGCCTATAGCATTTGTTATTTACTTACCATACTTGACATTACTTGCGATACTGACCTATCAATTTCTTTTCTTTGACGAAAACGTTGAATTGTATGTATAAATGCATATTCGGAAGTTAGCCGACAATCTAAGATGATCTACGTAGATAATTAAGTGGGAAGTTGTCTTGGTGGTGGCTTTTGTTCCTAAAAACAAGAGCTGAGTGCAGTGGATTTAATTTCGGAAAAAGTCGAGAAATAATTTATTCAGAAACTCTAACAACTTATAAATTTGGAGCACAAAAGAGTCTATTCGCATTTTTCTTCAAAATTCTGACGATGATAAGTCAACCTTTCCGGAGTCCTAATTTTCCATACAAGTAAATCCACATGTGTCCGGTCTCAATTGGATGGCAAGGACGTAGTTAGGGGGGAGAGGGTCCTGATGTGCCCGTGACTCTCCCCCCCTCACCCTTTTCAAACTTTTTTTAAGCACGGCATGGAGGTCGACATGGCGATCTGGTGAGTACCCTTTATTTGACACAGTGTGACCCTCCCCTCCTCCTTTGAGCTTTCCTGGCCAAGCCCTTGGATAGAGACCTCTGGCAAAGGCTTTTCACCACTAGATTTGATTCAGTTTTGTTTCTCTCGTTTCCATGGAAATATTTAAAACTTATATTGATTCTCTTTATTTCTCTCGTTTTCTTACTTCTTTCCTTTTTTCCGCTTGTGTATCAGTTTATGCAACTCCCACACGATTTGCTCCAAACATCTTGTTTTCAATTTCCTCAGCTTCAGCAAACGTTTTTCTTGTTAACATCTGAAAGATAGCTACGCGAAATTGTCGGATTCTTGCAGTGTAGATGAGTGGGTTTATCGACGAATTAAGCACTGCCAGAAATGTAATAGGGAAGTAAGCGATTTGTCCTACGTCAGAGAAGTTTTCTCCATCTAAGGAAATGAAAACAATCAGCAAAACGCAAGTAGGAATGTAACAAAGGAAAAGTGTCAAAACTATCACGACAGTTGTGTTAAAGGCTCTCTTATTCTTGAGTAACTTTTCCTTTACGGCTAAAGAAACTTGGTTAGCAATGATTTGCTGTGTGTTGCGACGAACTTCTTTGTATATGACAAGATGACAATAAACTACAGTGGAGATAACGGCTGAGATAAAAACAACACCTATTTCTCGAAGGAAGCTGGTTTTGATGCCAAAGATAATCACCGCACACATCCACGCCAAACCAGATGCCATGATAATACGAGCTTCAGTAACAAGGCCATTTTCGTACGCGAAGGGGTGTTTGATAGCTAGATAACGTTCTCCGCTCATTAACAACAAGTGGAGAAGCGAAGATGCAATGCATGTTTCGCCAACAGCACTGGATATGCAAACAATAGTGCGGGTCTCGGTTTGAAAGCTGCTATCTGTGAAAAACAAGCTGAAATTGGTTGTGGCCAACGGTTGAACAAGCAGTCCTACAATAAAATCTGTCGTGGCCAAGCAAGCCAGCGAGATGTTGGATTTTATACGCAGACGTCGCTTTGTTTTCACGGCACCTATTACCAGACTATTCAGTAAAACTGCGAGAGGACAAGTGAAGATATTCAAAGCAGCGGTTATTGCTAAAACGGAATAAACGCCAGAAGTGATATTTGTGCGACTGTTCGAAAGAAATTCGAAACCAAGAAGGGGTGATGTAGTGTTCGGCATGTTGATTCCTTATGGCCGCGTGTTGAGTGGAGCAAATCCTTCCTTGTCTCTCATTTGACTGTGTTTTTGCATGACTAGAACGAAACAACTTGCTATTATTATTTGATTACCACTTCAGTACAAGTGTATTGTCTGTTTTAATTCATAGGCAGAAGACTTAGAAGTTGTGTGGAAAAGTACTTGAAAGTTGGCTTTTGCTCTTCGTAACAATCCGAGGGCAATTTGCTTTATTTAGATTACTTGAAAGAAAGTGCAGGCGAAAAGCTTGCCAAGAAATTTGACGCAGTTAGGAAGGGGCTTTTAAGAGCTACACATGAAACTGAAAACTCGATGATTTTTAATTTTTTTCCTCTCGGAAACCCTTTCGTGATCAATTCATCTTTCAACGTGTATTCTTGCAATCGAGAATTGCTCGGTCGCCATAATTCGTTGATAAGAGTACAGGTTACGGTTTGAATCCTGCCACCTATGTGCATCAAGCTGAAATTGGTCATAGTCAAAGGTAGAACAATCAGTCCTACAGTTAAATCTGTTGTAGCCCAGCAAGCCAGTGAGTTGGCGTCGCTTTGTTTTCACGGCAAATAATGAGAATAATGAGGAGAATGCCAAGAGGACAAGTTGAGATGTTCAAAGCAGCGCTCATTGCCAACGCAAAATAAAATTTAGCAGATTTATTTGTGAGAAAGGCGATATAGTATCTACCATGTTAGTTCTCTTTGGCGTCTGTTTGAATGTATGTGCGGAAAACTGGAAAAGAAACAATCCCAAGAGATCTTAGTTGATGAGTGGAAAAGTGTTCCGGATGTTGGCCTGCATTCTCCACAACACTTCAAAAGTAATTTGTGCTTTCTGTAAACGATTTGAAAGAGAATGCAGGACAAAAAGCTTGCCAATAAAATTATGCATTCAAAGGAAATGACTTCTAAGGGCTGAAAACTGACAACTTGGTGGTAATTTCATTCTGATTTGCTCTCAGAAGGCCTTTATAATAAACTTATTTTCAATGTGTATTGTTGTCAATCGAACAAAACAGCGAATGCAATGAAAGTCATCCATAAGAGTAAATTGATTGAGAAACGATTACCAACGAAATTGCTGTCAGTGTTAGTAGAGGTTATAAAAGGTTATTTATTATCTAACTGGTTTTTTGTCTACTGAGTCTTTCTGCTCATTTCTCATAAGGCGAGAAAAGCAAAGCGGATAGAGAAGCGTAGAGCGCGCAGCCGACTGGTCAAACAGGTTTTTTTTACAGTACAAAATAACCAACCGTTCGAATAAATGTACAATATCGCCGGATCTCTGTATTCTATTCGCGCGTTATTTGTAATTTGCTTGGTGCAGTTGGATAATAAGAAGTTGAATTGTATGTTTTAGGAGATATGCAGAATTTAACCGACAATCCAAGGTATCGATGATCTCAGTAGAAAATGGGGACAGTTGGTTGCTCTACATATATAGAGAGTTTTGCTTGAATATGTGATTGCGGTAAGTGCAAATGCCTAGTAAACATCATTCGATGGTCTTCTACTCTTCCACCTTGGAGGGTGCCTTGTGTACATAAAAATTGAAGTTCAGTGCCTTTAATTACCAGCATGCTTCTGAGCTCAAATTGTCAGCCCGTTTAATTACACGATCACAGCTCGGACACTTCTTGCAAAATGTGATGACTATCAATTTCAAAGATTGATTCTTCAGTTTCCAGCATCAGGAAAAAAAATTATCGCATCGAAAACATGTTCCTCATAACCCGAGCATTAAGTACGTCTCGAGATGTCGAGCGACGACAAAGTGGCTCCATGTTTTGTCAGACAAACCATTTCTTAAAGTTCGAACGAATCGAGTATAAAGCATGAAAACTTAGCGCCGAAAAGTACCATGACCAAACAATGAAATTCACTCCCCCCGCAGTAGGATTAACCCATTTTACCCATGAGTTTGTTTGCACTACAGATTTGCGCAAGGTAATTTAATTCTCAGATGTTTGACGGGTTCTCGCATGACAATATTTTCAAAATCAAATTACCACGTCAGACCTAGTGTAAACATTAAACATCGCTAACTCAGTCTCATTATATTTCAATCTTGGGAAGGGCTATTACTTCATTCTCAGTGTAAAACAACAAATCTTCGACAAAGCGCGATTTTTTAAAATGAATAATGTAGACCATGCGATAGCTAACTGAAGAGAGAATGGGCAAGAGATAACCGTAAGATAACTTATTTTCCCTGAACACCACAACTGTATTAAACATTCCAAAAGGTAGGACACGAAATGATTTTAAGAATACGAACACTTTGAAATGTTATTCGAGCGATGAACTGGCGCGAGGGTTTTAAAGCGATGAATGCAAAAGTTACTGTTTTACCGAAACACGATTTGAATTATAAACTGAATCTAGTATCAAACGAAGATTGGGAAAAAGGGTTTGAATTTTTCTGGGCCTTAACGTAAGAAAAAAACCCAGATAAGACACGACTTACTTCCTCATCTTTCTCGGATTCTTTGTGGTTCGCTTCTCTTTGTTGATGACCTCTTTTCAGTCTGTTTTCTGGATCTCTTTGTATTTCCTTCTCACGTTACCCTTCGCTAGATATTTGCCTTTTTACTTATGCATTTTCTTGTTCTCTCTCGCGTTCCCCTCGCCGTATTCTGCCTATTTTAGCGTCTTTTCTAACTTTCTTGCGCATTTTTCTCGACTCGCTTGACGCCTTTTACTTCTTGCTGTCTTTGGCCGCTCTGTCTCTTTCTTTCCAGCTTATTTTCACTCAAAACCCTTTCTCCACGAACTTGAATTATAACAATTTCCTCCGGTTGACAAAGCCTTAGCTCTGCAGGTATTGTTGCTTTGCGAGTTGCTTGAAAACTGCAAAATACTGAGAATTACTGTTCAACTACGAATTATTGCATTATTGTTATTACAAATTATTTACTTACGCGGCCTCACATCTACTAGCCCTCGCCTAGGGCACTTCATTGTGATCTGCCGGTGTTTCCTGGCACTAATGGGGTATCCTAGCTGATCTTGGACATGACTTTTTCCACCCATGCATTGATATTTTTCAGCAAAACCTGCTTCTTTAGGTGTAAATAATTTGTTTGGGGCTGTTTGAAGCAGGAATGGATCTGACAGACGTACAAGTAGAATTGGATATTTTGTGCCACCGGTTCAGGATAAGTGCAAAATTAGGGGGCATTTTTCTAACAATAGCTGCTATTTGCATCGTCTCGCAAATGGTGCTATATTATTATTACTATCACGAGATCTATTTTTCCATTGACCTACTTTTCATGCCGGTTGAGTCCTGCAGATAATTTTGAACTTATATAAAGCACAGCTCATACAAGTATAGTGTAGCAGCGGTAGACTTGATGGCTCATTTTGACTTGATTGTTTTGCTTCAGGACAGTCTTGTTTAGCCAATAGTAGCAAAGGCAAATGCCAAAGAAACTATGGTTCAAAAAGATGAAGGCGTATTTTTTTGCCGCATTTTCTTCGACATGAAGCACCCACTCAAGACACCGAGGCAGCGTGCAATGTTGCCAAAGAGGTGGATAGGAAATATGCTGTGTCCGATGGAGAGGAAGGGATTGGCAATGCTGTGGTAATTGGTTTGATTCCAAGCACTCAGGGACTTTGTTTGTCTCCTGAAGAACTAAGATACATAATTGTACTTTTTTATCAGGATGGAGCACCTTCCACAGTAGGTCTTGGCGTAGAAACGACGGCTTAGCCAAGATTTTGGAGTAATACAGATTCTGGAACTCCTTGATGAAGTGTCACTTTTCGAGCTCACGGACGGAAGCGCTTGGAAAACTGGAAACCTCCAAAACGATTCCTTGGAAATGCAGAGAAACTTTGAGGCACCGAGGTGTTGTGCCATTTCTTTTTAAATTCCATGGTTATTCACACAACCTCAAGAGTTTTAACTTGCACGTACGCCTAAACAATATTTGAGAGTAACAGAGAAGATCATTAATAAAGGACAATAATGAGCGAAGAGTCTTTAGTCAGGGTCTTAGTCAAACAACCATTTTTCAACTTCCTTTCTAAATTGTAGGCATGCTCTTAAAATACACTTTTACGTCAAAAAATTTCTACTTCACTTTCTTCGTGCACACGTGGTTTGAAGCTCGTCATGTTAGCTTGCTTTGGTGTTATCTACTTTTCATTCTGGTACCTGTAAGTTGAAAAAATCAGTCCCACAGCAAAAAGTGCTGTAGCCAAACAAGCGAGCGAGGCGATTGATTTGGAGCGCAGTTGTCGCTTTGTTTTTACGACAATTATCATGCTCCAGAATATTTTGCAAAATAGCGAGAGGACAGGTAAAGACATTGAAAATGTTGATAATAGGGAACGCAGAACAAACGCAGGAGAAAATGTTTCTGGACTTAGCGGAAAGACGTTTGTAAACACTGAAATGTTTTTCATGTCGATTTTAACGATTTAGAGTTAATTTCATTCTTGCACATCATTTGGTGCGCTTTTTTTTTACATCACTGCAATTTAACTGCTTTTTCAAAGAGTTTGTATCGTATCACTTAATACATAAAGTCGGTAATCTGAGAAGTATTAGCGTGGGATGTTGGGTTCTAAACATCTTTTAAATGAGTCGTAAAGGAATCAATACTTTCTTCGAATAACTTTGAAGAGGGTGCCATATTTTTTCGGTATTTAAGTGTTAAAGTAAGAGAGATTTCAAGGTCTCCGCCAGAAGAGATATTTGTGCGATTTGTAAGGATGAACTCGTAACCGCAAGAAAAGGTGATGATGTTTGTGACACGTTGATTCTTTATGGCCACACTGTGAGCTAAAGAATTCTCCCCTTGCCTCTTACTTAACCGGAATTTTGTTGCATGACTACAACGAAGCCAATAGCATTTTTCATTTAACAAATAGAGAAGCCTTGACTGTGCTCTATTCTGTTAAAAAGCACGCAGGAAGCGGCTAGAGCACGAAGGAAGTGTAGGGAGAAACACTCGACTACGTCTCGTGTTTCTCCCCACTTCTTGAGTGGGGAGTCAGCATGCTCTATACTCTCATAAAGCACGCTGCAATAAGCCAATCACAGTCCCTGCTAGAATGGTTCAAATAATCTGATTGGCTGCACAAGACAAAAGCTGTCAAAAGTGTCAAACCATCAAAGTTCACAATCTGCGATAGTTTACAAACTAAAATAGTTCGGCAGGTCAAATTTAAAACTTTTGCCTGAAGTTTTTGAGTCTCCAATACAGAATCTTGAAGTGAAATTTTCAGTGAACTTCAGCCAAATTATGGCTCATAAAAACACGCGAGTTTTTTGACATGACAAGGTAGAAAACAAACTGTTCAAGGCGAGTGTTTTTTGAATGACCGACAACCGAATTCACCGGAACATGAAGATCACTCGGGATGACAGCGCCGCAAAACTCGGCTGCAGTGACTGATGTAACTTTCTACTCAACGCGTCGGAAAGGATATCAGAGAAAACTTTATTTTTTCACTCGAAGGGCGGCCGATGTAGTTTCTGAGGCTTTCTTTACGGTGATGACCGGAGATCGCCATAATGAGCGAGCCGCGATGGACTTCAGCATGATCATATTCGCTCAGACACCGTCATGATTAGTATGAATTTTAACAGTTATGCCAGTTTGGTTATATTTTTCATCATTTCTGTTTTGTTCTGTTTTGTTTTTGAACACTGAACTTTACATACTATACGAGTGTTAGCTATGTTTGATTTTTATTACCGTACGTAAGCTTGCAATCTAACTGAGCGTGAAAATCTTTAAAACTCGGAATGTCTATTTTGTTTTTCTTTTGAGGATTTTTGTACCTGCTCACGTTTTAATAACGTAAATTACGGCGCCTGGTATGTTTACAAACCTTTGTTTGGTTCTTCTGTTGATACTTGCCGGCTCGCTTGTTCTGAAATTTCACTTTCAGTTATCGGAAAAAAGCTAAAAAGAAGTCCCGGAAAAGGTCGAACATAGCACAATTTGACAGATGGCGTGACAGCTTTAGCTCAGTTCTATGCTCTATACTCTCATAGAGCACGCTCTTTCAACCAATGACAGCACGCGTTATATCCGAACTTTATTATAATTAGTAATAACATCATCTTTTGTGTATAGCATAACTTTCATCTTTTATTTACCAGACTTTACATTACTTTTGATAACTGTTGATTTATTTTCTTTGACGAAAACGTTGAATTGTATGTTTACATGCATATTCGGAAGCTAGCCGACAATCCAAGATGATCTACGTATGTGATTAAGAAGGAAATTGTCTTGATGTTGGCCTTTGTTCTCTGAAATAAGAGCACTGAGAGAGCAATGATTTTAATTCCGGAAAAAGCTGAGAAACACTTTATTCAGAAATTCTAACAACTTATAAATTTGGCGAGCAAAAAAGTATATTCGCATATGACTTAAAAATTCTGACAATAATAAGTTAACCTTTCCAAAGTCCTAAGTTTTCATACCAGTAAAACCACATTTGTCAGGTCTCAATTGGATAGCAGGGACGTAAGTAGGCACGGCAGGGAGGTCTCACTCCTCTCGTTTTTCCAGCTGGGTATCAGTTCATGCAACTCCCACACGATTTGCTCCAAACATCTTCTTTTCCAGTTCCTCAGCTTGAGCAAGAGTTTTTCTTGTTAACATCTGAAAGATAGCTACGCGAAAGTGTCTGATTCTTGCCGTGTATATGAGTGGGTTTATCGACGAATTTAGGAAAAGCAGAAATGTAATAGGGAAGAAAGCGATTTTTCCTACGTCAGAGGAGTTTTCTCCATCCAAGGAAATGAAAAGAATCAGCCAGACGCAAGTCGGAATATAACAAAGGAAAAGTGTCAAAACTATCACGACAGTTGTGTTAAAGGCTCTCTTATTCTTGAGTAACTTTTCCTTCACTGCTAAAGAAACTTGGTTAACGATGATTTGCTGTGTGTTGCGACGAACTTCTTTGTATATGACAACATGACAATAAACTACAGCGGAGATAACGGCTGAGATAAAAACAAAACTTATTTCCGGAAGGATGCTGACTCTGATGCCATAGACAATCACTGCGCACATCCACGCCAAACCAGATGCAGTGATAATACGAGCTTCAGTTACAAGGCCATTTTCGTAGGCGAAGGGGTGTTTGATTGCTAAATAACGTTCCCCGCTCATTAACAACAAGTGGAGAGTCGAAGCTGCAATGCATGTTTGGCCAACAACGCTGAATACCCAAACAGAAGTAGAGATCATGGTTTGAAGGCTGCTACCTGTGAAAAACAAGCTGAAATTGGTTACGACAAACGGTTGAACAATCAGTCCCACAGCAAAATCTGTTGTGGCCAAGCAAGCCAGCGAGATATTCGATTTTGTGCGAAGATATCGCTTTGTTTTAACGGCACCTATTACCAGACCATTCAGTAAAATTGCGAGAGGACAAGTGAAGATATTCAAAGCAGCGGTTATTGCTAACACAGAATAAACGCCAGAAGTGATATTTGCGCGTTTTTTTTAAATAAATTCGAAAGGATCAAAATGTGATGTAGTGTTAAGCATGTTGATTCTTTATAGCCGCATGTGGAGTGGAACAAATCTTTCCATGTCTCTCACTTAACTGTGTTTTATGGCGCATGACAACAACGAAACAACTTACTATTGTTGTTTGATTTTCATTTCAGCACAAGTGTATTGTCTGTTTTAATGTATGGGCGGAAGGCTGAGAAGTTGATTGGAAAAGAACTTGAATGTTGGCTTTTGCTCTTCATAACAATCCAAGGGCAATTTGCTTTATTTAGATTATTTCATAGAAAGTGCAGGGGAAAAGCTTCCCAAAAAAATTGACGCAGTTATGAAGGGGCTTTTAAGAGCTAAACATGAAATTGAAAACTAGTTGGTAATTTCATTTTTCTTTCCTCTCGAAAACCCTTACATGATGAATTCATTTTCAACGTGTATTTTTGCAATCGATAATTTCTCGATTGCTATGATATAATAATAATCAGGAGAATGGCAAGAGGACAGGTGAAGATGTTCAAAGCAGCTCTTACTGCCAACGCAGAATAAAATTCAGAAGATTTATTTGTGAGAAAGGTGATATTGTGTCGGCGTTTGTTTGAATGTATGTGCGGAAAACTGGAAAAGAAATAATCCCAAAAGATCTGAATAGATGGGTGGAAAAGTATTCCGGATATTGGCCTCTATTCTTCGCAACACTCTAAAACTAGCCTGTGCTTTCTCTGAACGATTTGAATGAGAATTCAGGACAAAAAGCTTGCTAATAAAATGAGGCATTCAAAAGGGATGGCCTTTGAGGGCCAAAAACAGACAACTTAATGGTAATTTCATTCTGATTTCCTCTCCGAAGGCCTTCTTGATTAATTCATTTTCAACGTGTATTGTTGTCAATCGACAAATACAGTGAATGTAAATAAAGTCATCCAATTGATTGAGAAACGATTACCAACGAAACTGTCGTCAGTGTAAATAGAAATAAGGCTACGTAAGCCATAGGGACGGAGGGATGATCCTGTTAAGTAGAACAACCAAGAAATCTTAGGGCAACACTGGTAATAGCTTCATTGAGTCCAAACTGAAACTCAGGATGCCATTAAGGATAACGCTTTTCACCTGTTTGGGTTTCACAAGTATGTCTAAGCAGCACAAAAATAGAATGAGCAGCGCTTAGGCGTATTGTTACAATTTGCCTGTGTCGCACACAAAGGAAACAAATCAAAGTGCTCTGTGAGCAAACTCGTGAATTGACACATGATTTTTTGGATTATATTTGATGTTATCTGGTTTAGGGAATTTTGCGGTTGATTGTCATATCCAGAGTACGAGCAGTAGTTCAGTGTTCGCTAATGTAGCAAAGAAACAAAGTAACGTCGGGATAAGAAGGCATTAAAATTGAATTGATCATGCTATTACATTTGACAAGGGTGGATGATGTCATGTGTTTTAAACGTATATTATTTTTGTTTCTGCTTCAAAAGAAAAGGTTGGAAGTAAATGTGCCGGGTGAAAAATGAAATTTACTGTCTATCATTGTAAATATTAGAAAACCAAGGCAATACTGTCTTGATAAAAACATTGACAATTCCCTCTTTGTCAAATGAGACAAACGGGAACGAGTTTTGAGTGGTATAACTAAGCCAAGACTGCCACCGTCATTTTGGATCTCCGCCTGTGTAGATTTTAGTCACGTGCAAGGCAACGTATAATCAATAACAAGATAGAATTTCATTTCAGGCCTATTTATCAATTTTTGTGATTTATCAATTTTTGTGATACGCATTTTAGTTCGTAATATTTATTTTGAATCTTCAAATTGTCTTGAAACTTAAAAGAAAATTGTTCTTTAAAAATTCACTGAAAATCGGCAGCTAAAATTGTTTGTTTAGGTGTTATTTGACTTTCGTGATAACTTGTAACTTCGTCAGTCGCCGGCATCTTTTGTTGCTTCACACAGGAAAAACACACGATACGAAACGTAATGATCGATTTTGTCCTCAATCTCACGCCATAACAGAAAAAGCTTTTGAACATCTGTAAACTCCGAGCGCTTCGCAGTAAGTGATATTTTCAATGAATCTTCGGATTGTTTTCAAGTTCAAGGATTATAAATTACAATTTTATGAAAAACGAAGGTTTTTCTGTTATTTCAGTGTGAATCCTTGCATGCCTGCCAGTCGCTGGCGCCGCTTGTTGAAACTAAAACGAAAAAAAAAACCCTATTAAGATTATCATTGGCTTCTTTTTCACCCCACCACTATTCTTAGCAACAAAGGTCGCCATTTCGTTTGTTTATTGCTCGCCAAAACTATCAAATGCACTCAAAAGTCTAAAATCGAAAAAACGTTTACAGGAATTTACCAATCGAGCGAGTGAGTGCCATTCTCCACAACATATCTACAACTTGCCCTAGCGCATGCGCGCAATTTACGAGTTAAAAAGGAACCTTTGCGTTATGGGAGTTTATGACTTGCGCGTACGCTTCAACATTATTTGAGAGTAACAGAGAAGATCATTATTAGAGGAAAGTAATGAGCGAAGAGTCTTCAGTCAGGGTTTTAGTCAAACAATCATTTTTCTACTTACTTTCTAAATTGTATCTTTCCGAAAATAGCGTGCTCTTAAAATACATTTTTATGACAAATATTTTTCTACTTCACTTTCTTCGTGCACACGTGGTTTGAAGCTCGTCATTTCAGCTCGCCTTGGTGTTATCTACTTTTCACTCTGGTACCCGTAAGTTGAAAAATCAGTCCCGCAGCAAAAAGTGTTGCAGTCAAACAAGCGAGCAAGACGCTTGATTCGGAACGCGGTTGTCGCTTTGTTTTTACGGCGGCTATCACCACTATGTTTGGCAAAATTGCAAGGGGACAAGTGAAGGTACTGGAAAATGTTGATAATGTTGAACGCAGAATAAACGCAGGTGAAAATTTTTCTGAACTGAGCAGAAAGACGTTTGTGAACATAACTAGTCACTAGTCAAAAACAAATGTTTTTCGTGTCGATCTTGACGATTTAGCGTTACTTTCATTCTTGCACGTCAATTGATGTCCCTTTTTTTTTACATCACTGCAATTTAACTGCTTTTTTTTAAAGAGCTTGCATTGTATCACTATATACATAAAGTCGGCAATCTGAAAAGTATTGGTAGGTTGAACTCTACACTTCTTTTAAATCAGTTTTAAAGGATACTTAAGTGTATAAGCAAAAGGGGTTTCAAGGTCTCCGTCAAAAGAGATATTTGTGTGATTTACAGGAATAAACTCGTAATCATAAGAAAAGGTGATGAAGTCTATGGCACGTTGATTCTATATGGCCACACTGTGAGCTGAAGGATTCTCCCCTTGTCTACAATTAACCAGAATTTTGTTGCATGACTACAACGAAGCCAATAACTTTTTTTCATTAAGTGACAACATCATCTTTTGTATAATACATAATTTTAACTTTTCAATATTTACAAAACTAACATTACTTAACATACTTGGCATTACTTACGATACCTATAAATTTCTTTTCTTTGACGAAAACGTTGAATTGTATGTTTAAATGCATACTCGGAACTTAGCCGACAATCTAAGATGATCTACGTAGATAATTAAATGGGAAGTTGTCTGGATGTTGGCTTTTGTTCTTTGAAACAAGAGCAGAGTTCAATGTTTTTAATTCCGGAGAAAGCTCTTTATCAAAAATTCTAACAAATAATAAATTTGGCGAGCAAAAAATTATATTCACATTTTTTTTAAAAATTCTGACGATAATAAGTTAACCTTTCCGAACTCCTAAGTTTTCGTACGAGTAAAACCATATGTGTCAGGTTTCAATTGGATAGCAAGGATGTAACTAGGCATGGCATGGAGGTCGACATGACAATCTGGTAAGTACCCTCTATTTGAAATGTCCTGGCTACGTCCTTAGAAAAAGACCTCTGGCAAAGGTTTTTCAGTATCAAATTTCATACAGTTTTGTTGTTTCTCTCATTTCAATGGAGAGATTAATAAACTTCCATTGATTCTCTTAATTTCTCTTTCCTTCTCACTCCTCTCGTATTTTCGCTTGCGCATCAGTTCATGCAACTCCCACACGATTTGTTCCAAACATCTTGTTTTCAAATTCCTCACTTTGAGCAAAAGTTTTTCTTGTTAACATCTGAAAGAAAGCCAAGCGAAAGTGTCTCATTCTTGCAGTGTAGATGAGTGGGTTTATCGACGAATTTAGCACTACCAGAAATGTAATGGGGAAGTAAGCGATATGTCCTATGTCAACGGATTTTTCTCTATCCAAGAAAATGAAAACAATCAACCAAATGCAAGTCGGAATATAACAAAGGAAAAGTGTCAAAACTATCACGACAGTTGTTTTAAAAGCTCTCTTATTGTTGAGTAACTTTTCCTTCACTGCTAATGAAACTTGGTTGGCAATGATTTGCTGTGTGTTGCGACGAACTTCTTTGTATATGACAACATGACAATAAACTACAGCGGAGATAACAGCTGAGATAAGGACAACACCTATTTTTCGAAGGATGCTGGTTTTGATGCCATAGATAATCGCTGCGCACGTCCATGCCATACCAGATGCGATGATAATACGAGCTTCAGTTACAAGGCCATTTTCGTAGGCGAAGGGGTGTTTGATTGCCAGATAACGTTCCCCGCTCATTAACAATAAGTGGAGAAGCGAAGCTGCAATGCATGTTTCGCCAACAGCGCTGGATACGCAAACAACAATACGGGTCATGGTTTGAGGGCTGCTGCCTATGAGGAACAAGATGAAAAAGGTTATGGCCAACGGTTGAACAATCAGTCCTACAGCAAAATCTGTTGTGGCCAAGCAAGCCAGCGAGATGTTGGATTTTGTTCGAAGATTTCGCTTTGTTTTCACGGCAACTAGTACCAAACTATTCAGTAAAATTGCGAAAGGACAAGTGAAGATATTCAAAGCAGTGGTTATTGCTAACACAGAATAAACGCCAGAAGTGATATTTGTGCGACTTTTTGAGAGAAATTCGAAACCATTAAAAGGTGATGTAGCGTTTGGCATGTTGATTCTTTTTGGTCGCATGTGGAGTGGAGCAAATCCTTCCTTGTCTCTCTCTTAACTGTGTTTTATGGTGCATGACTACAACGAAACAACTTGCTATTGTTCTTTGATTTTTACTCCAGTACAAAAGTATTGTCTGTTTTAATATATAGGCGGAAGGCTGAGAAGTTGAGTGAAAAAGTACTTAAATGTTGGCTTTTGCTCTTCGTACGTAACAAACCAAGAGCAATTTGCTTTATTTAGATTATTTTAAAGAAAGAGTAGGGGAAAAAGCTTCCTAAGAAAATTGACGCAGTTAGGAAGGGGCTTTTAAGAGCTACACTTGAAACTGAAAACTCGTTAGTAATTTCATTTTTATTTCCTCTCGGAAGACCTTTCATGATAAATTCATCTTTCGATGTGTATTCTTGCAATCGATAATTGCTCGATTGCTATGAATCGTTGATAAGAGTACAGGTCACGGTTTGAATCCTGCTACCTATGTGCATCAAGCTGAAATTGGTCATGGTCAAAGGTTGAAAAATCAGTCCTACAGTTATATCTGCTGTGGTCTAGTAAGCCAGCGAGTTGTTAGATTTTGTGCAGAGTCTTCGCTTTACTTTCACGGCAAATATCACTGGAATAATCAGGAGAATGGCAAAAGGACAAGTGAAGATGTTCAAAGCAGCTCTTACTGCGAACCCAAAATAACATTTAGATGATTTATTTGTCTATGACGTCTGTTTGAATGTATATGCGGAAAACTGGAAAGGAAACAATCCCAAAAGATCTGAGTAGATGAGTGGAAAAGTATTCCAGATATTGGCAAGCATTCTCCACAATACTTGACAAGTAATTTGTGATTTCTTTAAACGATTTTAATGAGAACGAAGGACAAAAAGCTTGCCGTTAAATTATGCATTCAAAGGAAATGGCCTTTAAGGGCTAAAAACTGACTTGGTGGTAATTTGATAATGATTTCCTCTCGGAAGGCGTTTATGATAAATTTATTTTCAACGTGTATTGTTGTCAATGGAGAAAAGCAGCGAATGCAACATAAGTCATCTATAAGAGTGAATTGATTAAGAAACTATTACCAACGAAACTGTTGTCGGTGTAAGCAGAGAGGTTAAAAGATCTAATCGAACAAAAATGGAAAAAGACTACATTAACCGGATGGATGGAGGAATGATCCTGCTGAGTCGAACAACCAAGAAATCTTAAATCAACACCAGTAATAGCTTGATTGAGTCCAAACTGAAACCCAGGATGCAATTAAGGATAACTTTTTTCACCTGTTTGGGTTTCACAAGTATGTCTAAGCAGTACAAAAATAGAGTGAGCAGCACTTGGGCCTTTTTTTACAATTTGTGTGTGTCGCACACAAAGCGAACAAAAAAGGGTGATGTAGTTTATGGCACGTTGCTTCTTTACAGCCTCGAATTTTACCAACATGTTTATATTTTTTATTAAAATATTTTTTAAACATTTTTTGAGAATGTAATTAATGCAAACATGTTGTATTTTACTCTTAAACGAAAACATTTACTGAATAAACCTTCTTAATAATAATAATAATAATTATCAAACGCGAGCCTTGGATGTCGCAACATTTGGATACGCTGAAAATTTTCGAGCGAAACAATGGCCGGGTTTTAAGTTGGTTTTGTTTCGCCACCGCAACAACAATACATCAGCTGAAAAACAGCTCTAACAACGAAAACACTGAAAAAAGCTTTGCTTTTTGGTTGTCGATTTGAAAAAAATGGTGTTTAGAAAAAGGAACTGCTAAGGAAATAAAGAATTACGAGCCGACCCAGCTTAACACTTTGCTCGAGCGATCCTGCGCCGAAATTAAAAACAAACATGGTTAAACCTTGGAAACGACGATTCCATTTCATTGAAAGTGATTTGGACACAGACTGGACAATTTCTTGAACTGCTTAGCCGGAATTTGATTGTTTTTGCGCCTTAAAGAAGTGAAAATATCATTTCATATTTTTGTTTTGATCGTACGCGGTTGTTTTGACCGAGCGCACGGTTTGAATAAATTATTTTTGCACTTGATGCGCGCGCTTTGCTTCTGTATAATTATGATAAGCTATCTCGTATTTTTTCATGTACATTATTAATACGTAATCACATGATTTTTCTCGTGCAATTTGGTATAAACTAGACCCTGTGAGCAGGGTAACTGGGATACCTGGATGGTACTGGATCCTTGGAATCAAGTGTAGTGATACTACGGGTGTCGGACTAGTATACTGAAATAGTGCGCTCAAGTCTAGCCAAGGGCATACACCTATTTCAAAACATAGGCATGCTATGCGTGCAAGAGTTCCTTTTTTGTAGGGTGGGTGGATTACTTGAAACATTGTGAGTGATGTCTACATTCTTACAAAAGGAGAGAAGAATATTAATGTGGGAAAGAACGAAAATGTCGAATTACCTCACTCACAGGTATTTTGTGGTAGATTATGTGTGTTTTGCGAATAAATGTAACCAAAAATAAACTGTATTGGTGCCACGGATACCTGTTAGTACAAAATGCAGACAGCAGACTGCAGACCGGATACAAAATATAGACTGCAGACTGCAGAGTGGGTACAAAATGCAGACTAAGAATATGAAGAGTTTTACGTCTGGTATATAATAACATGTCATCTTACAGCTTACCGAGCGTCACGCAATCGCTTTTCTGCAATCCGCCTTCACGATTATTTGCACTATTGTGGAATATTCCTGGCCCATTTCTTGATGAAAATCGATCGCAATATTATTTCAAGCCTTCAATATATTCTTCTTACTTTGCGCGCGAGTTGATTGGTGTGATGTCTGTACAGATTTTATCAAGGTAATAAAAGTAGATGATGTGAAGAACAGTGATGGTAAAGCAAGCTTAAAACGGTAGAAATCGCCAGAAAATACAACGGATACACAGGGTATGAGTAAGTTTTATTGATTTTACGAGAAAAATGTTCCTATTTCGAAATATGTATCGTTATAAATCGACCATACTTCGTTCCATGGACTATTCCTTATAACGTGCAGTTCCTCTCGTAACTTAACACCGAGTCACACAACGCGTGACGCGTTCATGAATTAATCCTTGGCTTTTTCTCGAGACGTGAGCTCGGGCCGCTTGTGACAAGACAATTGCGTAAACAATATTTAACATAACAACATTATACACAAAAAAACACAGGGTTTTGGATCACGTATTTATTAAAAAAGAATATCCATACAACTACAATGAAAACAAACATAAGATTCACCTTTCTGATCGTGAAATTAATACCATTCGTACTGTTATCGTAGCTACGTTCCTTGCCATCAAGTGAATCCAACATGTCGTCTTTCTTCACAAGCAGTTTGCATCCCATATAGTTATGTTCTTCAGTCTCACGGTAGTAGCGTTGTTCAATAGATTGCATAGAGTATGTGCAGTTTGGTTTCAGATTTCAGATTTTGCTTTTGACAACAAGTGAACGTTTTTCAACTAACAAATTGGCATACTTAGCATACAAGGCATTTAAGGCTTTCATGGCTTTCAAGCGTTCGCGACTCAATCCGTTCCAAAATTACCGCTCAATAACATCTTTCAGTGTGGATTAGCCGCGATTAATACGACTTGTATATGCGTCTGTAAGTATTTTGCGCGTTTGCGCTATAATGCTCAGGAGATCGCAATCCAAATACGTTGAAATACAAAACATCTGACCAAAGAGTTTTATAAGCAAAATCTCGTGTCCGTCATGTGACCCGGCCCTGTCTGTGCATGACAACGTCAATCATCATCAAGATAATACGCGTGATCAGCATGTGAACACCTCATTGGATCACAGTTAGTTGTCATGGTGTTGAGGGATAACACGCGTGATCAGTATGTGTACACCTCATTGGATCACAGTTAGTTGTCATGGTGTTGAGGGATAACACGCGTGATCAGTATGTGAACACCTCATTGGATCACAGTTAGTTGTCATGGTGTTGAGGGCCCAATGACCTCTGGGTACTATTGCGCAATTTTTCCATTTTGTGGCGGAGGAAAAAAAAAAAAAAAAAAAAAAAAAAGACGACAAAAAAACAAAGGCATTTTATGACTGGGCTACCACAGGTATCCCAGTAATAAGCACTTGTTAAAAGTACCATAACCGAACAGTGAAATTCAATCCTCCCGCAGGACGATTACCACCATTTTACCATTGAATTTGTTTGCACCACACATTTGCGCTAGGTAAATTAATTCTCAGATGTTTGACGGGTTCTCACATAACAAAATTTCGAAAATCAAATTACCGCGTCAGACTTAATGTAAACATGAACATCGCTGACTCAATCTCATTATATTTCAATTTTGGGAAAGGCTATTACTTCATTCTTAGAGTAAAACAACAAATCTTCGACAAAGCGCGATTTTTTTTAAAATGAGCAGTGTAAACCATGTGATAGTTAACTGAAGAGAGAATGATAGAAACTTGCGCACGTCGTTCGCTATCGTTTTAAAACTTTCAAGGCAAAACATAACCCGTCAGATAACTTATTTTCCCTAAACACCACGACTGTATTAAACGATCGAAAAGGTAGGACAAGAAATAATTTTAAGAATACGAACACTTTGAAATGTTATTCGAGCGATGAACCGGCGCGAGGGTTTCAAAGCGATGAATGCAAAAACGAAACATGATTTGAATTATAAGCTAAATATAGTATCAAACGAAGATTGGGGAGAAAAGGTTTGAACTTTTCTGAGCGTTAGCGTAAAAGAAAACCCAGATAAGAAACGAATTATTCTGCCTATTTAAGCGTCCTTTCTAACTTTCTTACGCGTTTTTCTCGACTCGCTTGACGCCTTTCACCTCTCGCTTTCTTTGGTCGCTCTATCTCTTTCTTCCCAGCCTATTTTCACTCAAAACCTTCTCCACGAACTTGAGTTATAAAAATTTCCTCCGGTTGACAAAGCTTTAGCTCTGCTGGTATTATATTGTTGCTTTGCGAGTTGATTAAAAAATTGCAAAATTATGAGAATTGCTGTTCAACTACGACCTCAACAATTTGATTTCCCGCTCAAAAGGTGTGTTGCAAATTCTTTGCTAACGCGGCCTCACATCTACGAGCCCACGTAAAGCCCTCATGTAATGCCTAACCGCGTGCCCGCCGTACGCTACACTAAAGCTCGGCACTCCAAATTTCTTCGGCTAAATGGGATACTGCTATTTTGCATAATTATGAGGCTACGCTGCGCACGATGCAAGCTCCGCTATTATCTAATGAGTCCAGTTGTTATTATCTTTTCGTTTATGACTCAATAAACAGGGATCGGTGTTTTCTTTCGACCTGAAGTGGAATCAAAAGGGAGATAAGTTTATGTAATTAACCTCTTACAAAATAACCGAAGATCTAAGTGAACTTCTTTGGGGGCTTCTGTTAAATTTAAGATAAAGGACCTATTTGGTTTTTGTAAAGTTGTTTGTTATTTTATCTTTTAATGATTTGTTTACGGTTTTGTTTTCATAAGTGCTCAATTTGGTCTTGGTTTTTTTTTGTGTTGGTTTGTATGTTTGTTTGTTTTTTTTTTGAGGAGGGGGAATGGGGCACGCCTGGAGAAACAGGAACAAGAATGAGAACTGAGCTCCAGAAGTGAAAGTTTACTCGAACGAACGTTATAGTCACGGCGATCTATAAGACCTTAATTTGACATAACTTTGAAACACAATTTAGAAAAAATCTATGAGACTAATTTGAAAAAAATACCACGAAAGATTATTTCATGTCTATCTTATCCATTGAGCTTACTTTGGAGACACCGAGTTTCAAACAAATTAGTGGGAAGACTTAAGAAATCCCCTATTGGTTCACAAGAGTCAAACGCGCGAAAACCGACCAACTTCTAACTGAATCGATGAAGGGTCACTTGACGAGTTCACGGACGGAAGCGCGTGGAAAACTAGAAACCTCCAAAGCAAGTCCTAACACAGGAAGATTAGCCCAACACACAGCCTGGAACTTTGGAAATGTAGACACTTAAGGCACCGGGGTATTGTGTCATTTCTTTTTCAATTCCATGGCTTTTCACACAACCTCAGTGGCTAATGGTGAGTAAAAATTGTTTCTGATCTTGATTTCTTTTATTCGAAGAACGAAGGGAAGGTTAGTAAAAAATGTGTTGAGTTGCTTATGCTCCGTACAACGTATTACCGGGTTAGGGAACTCAAAGGGGTCCACCGTTTTCTTTTGTCTTGCGCACGGTCTATAGGAGAAAGAAAACAATTAATGATAATGTTTATCATGTAACAACCTGGGCGGAAGAACATTAACAACATTAACATTACAAACGAACTGAACAAAACGACCTAACTTTACTAAAGGATCAAGACCGACCAATCACGACAGACCTACGCCACTTGAGTATTACAGCCAATAACATCACGGAAAAATTGACCGACAACGTCCCTTCCAGGGACTACACTCACCCAATTACACTATTAACCTATTATGTTACCTCCGGGTTGAAACCATTTACTGTATAATGTTAATTATATAAATAAAATGATTAAAAAGGAACCTTTACGTTACAGGAGTTTATGCCTTGCGTGTACGCTTCAACAATATTTGAGAGTAACAGGGAAGATCATTAGTGAAGGAAGTTAATGAACGAAGAGTCTTTAGTTAGGGTCTTAGTCAAACAACCATTTATAACCATAAAATGCCCTTAAAATACATTTTTATGACAAATATTTTTCTACTTCACTTTCTTCGTGCGCACGTGGTTTGAAGCTCGTCGTGTTAGCTCGCCTAGGTGTTATCTACTTCTTACTCTGGTACCCGTAAGTTGAAAAAATCAGTCCCACAGGAAAAAGTGGTGTGGCCAAACAAGCGAGCGAGACATTTAATCTGGAACCCAGTTGTCGCTTTGTTTTTATGGCGACTGTCACCAGAATGTTTGGCAAAATTGCAAAAGGACAAGCAATGATATTGGGAATGTTAACAACGATGAACGCAGAATAAACGCAAGAGAAAAATTTTCCGGACTGAGCAGAAAGACGTTTGTAAACATACATAAGCCATGAAATATTTTTTATGTTGATTTTAACGATTTAGCTTTACTTTCATTCTTGCTCATCATTTGATATGTTTTTTTTTACATTACAGCAATTTGACTGCTTTTTCAATGAGCGTTTATTGTATCACGTAAGACATAAACTTGGCACTCTGATAAGTATGGGGATGTTGGGCTCTCAACCTCTTTGAAATGAGTCTTAAAGGAATTAATATTTTTTTCGAATGACTTGGAAGAGGCTGCCAAAATTTTGCGAAACGTAAGTGTATAAGCAAGAGGGATTTAAAGGTCTCCGCCAGAAGAGATATTTGTGGGATTTACAGGAATAAACTCGTAATCACAAGAAAAGGTGATGAAGTCTATGGCACGTTGATTCTATATGGCCACACTGTGAGCTGAAGGATTCTCCCCTTGTCTCTCAATTAACCAGAATTTTGTTGCATGACTACAACGAAGCCAATAACTTTTTTTCATTAAGTGACAACATCATCTTTTGTTTAATTACTTACGATACTGACCTATGGATTTCTTTTCTTTGACGAAAACTTGGAATTGTATGTTTAGATGCATATTCGGAACTTAGCGGACAATCTAAGATGATCTACATAGATAGTTTAGTGGGAAATTACCTTGATGTTGGCTTTTGTTCCTTAAAAAGCGCGGAGGGCAATGCTTTTAATACCGGAGAAAGTTGAGAAATACTTCAGAGTGTATTCGCATTTTTCTTAAAAATTCTTGTGGAGATAAATTAACCTTTCCAAAGTCCTGATTTTTCAAATAAGTAAAACCATTTACATTTACATTTAAGGCTTTTCAGTATTACATTTCATTCAGTTTTTGTTTCTCTTGTTTCCATTGAGAGATTAAGAAACTTCCACTGATTCTCTTAATTTCTGTCTCCTTCTCACCCCTCTTTTTTTTCCGGTTGTGTATCACTTCATGCAACTCCCACACGATTTGCTCCAAACATCTTCTTTTCCAGTTTTTCAGCCTGAGCAAGAGTTTTTCTCATTACCATCTGAAAGAAAGCTACGCGAAAGTGTCTGATTCTTGCAGTGTAGATGAGTGGGTTTATCGACGAATTTAACGCTTGTAGAAATATAATAGGAAAGAAAGCGATTTGTCCAACGTCAGAAGCGTTTTCTCCATTTAAGAAAATGAAAAGAATTAGCCAAATCCAAATCGGAATATAACAAAGGAAAAGTGTCAAAACTATCACGACAGTTGTGTTAAAGGCTTTCTTATTTTTGAGTAACTTTTCCTTCATTGCGAAAGAAACTTGGTTGGCGATGATTTGCTGTGTGTTGCGACGAACTTCTTTGTATATGACAACATGACAATAAACGACAGTAGAGATAACGGCTAAGATAATAACAACACTTATTTCTCGAAAGATGCTAGCTCTGATGCCATAGGCAATCGCTGCGCATATCCACGCCGTATTAGATGCAATGATAATACGAGCTTCAGTTACAAGGCCATTTTCGTAGGCGAAGGGGTGTTTGATCGCTAGATAACGTTCCCCGCTCATTAACAACAAATGGAGAAGCGAAGCTGCAGTGCATGTTTGGCCAACAGCGCTGGATACCCAAACAAAAGTAGAGGTCATGGTTTGAGGGCTGCTGCCTATGAAGAACAAGCTGAAATTGGTTATGACCAACGGTTGAACAATCAGTCCCACAGCAAAATCTGTTGTTGCCAAGCAAGCCAGCGAGATGTTGGATTTTGTACGAAGACGTCGGTTTGTTTTCACGGCAACTATTACCAGACTATTCAGTAAAATTGCGAAAGGAAAAGTATAGATATTCAAAGCAGCGCTTATTGCTAACACAGAATAAACGCCAGAAGTGATATTTGTGTGATTTTTTGAAAGAAATTCAAAACCACTAAAAGGTGATGTAGCGTTTGGCATGTTGATTCTTTATGACCGCGTGTTGAGCAGAGAAAATCCTTCCTTTTTCTCTTACTGAACTGTGTTTTATGGCGCATGACTACAACGAAACAACTTGCTATCGTTCTTTGATTTTCAATTTAGTACAAGTGTATTGTCTATTTTAATATATAGGCGGAAGGCGCAGAAGTTGAGCGGAAAAGTACTTGAATGTTGGCTTTTGCTCTTCGTAACAATCCAAGTGCAATTTGCATTATTTAGATTGTTTTAAAGAAAGTGCAGGGAAAATGCTCCCCCAAAAATTGACGTAGTTAGGAAGGAACTTTTAAGAGTTACACATGAAACTGAAAACTAGATGGTAATTTCATTTTTCCTTCCTTTTGGAAACCCTTTCATGATCAATTCATCTTTCAACGTGTATTTTTTCAATCGATAATCGTTCGATTGCTGTAATACGTTGATAAGAGTACAGGTCACGGTTTGCGCCTTTTAAATTAATTTTATGCCGGAAAAGGCTTTTTTTTCTTTCGGAGTTCCAACATCAAATTAATGAGACGAGCCTGTAAAAAGTATATCCATATTTTTGTTGGGCTGCAAACCGTAGAATTCTCGTTTTTTCCTGCCTAGTCTAATACATGACAAAGGTTGGATATTATCTGATTAGCCAGCTGTTATTATCCTTTAACTCGTGGTCTCAGTAAACAGAGGTCAATGTTTCTTTTTCGGCCGGAAGTGGAATCCAAGGGGAGATAAGTTTATGTTATTAAACTCTTACTAAATAACCGAAGATGTGGGTAAACTTCTTTCGGGGCTTCTGTGATTTAAATTTAAGGTAAAGGACATATTTTGTTGTTATTAAGTTGTTTGCTATTTTATTTTTTGATGATTTGTCTACGGTTTTGCTTTGATAAGATCTCAATTTGGTCTTGGTTATTTTTATGTTGGTTTGCATGTTTGTTTGTTCGTTTGTTTGCTCTTTTTCGAGGAGGGAAGAGAGTTGAGAGTTAAGGGGGAATGGGACAAGCGTGAACAAACAGGAACGAAAATGGGAACTGAGCTCCAGTGTGTAGTTGTTCCTGTGGGGAAAGGGGGTGGGGGCGACGTCTTTCTGAAGAGAATTAATACTTCAATCAGCGTGATCGTGAACATCAAGGAATTGCTTATTATTGGGCTTGGGATGTGACAGACGTGGATTCTCATCACGGAAGTTATTTTCGTTGGAAAGTTATCTTTTCAACAAAAATAACTACCGTAATGAACTTAAGAACTCCTCATAAAGCTGCTTCTTGAGGGAAATCAGTTGGCGGCCATGGCTTGCAATCCACTCGCTTCTTAGGGTGATTACAATCAAACAATCACCCCAAGAAGCGAACAAATTACAAGTGTATTAATACTAAAAGTGTGTCTCCTTAAAAATTTACACTGTAGGCTTGTTTGGAAATTACACGTTTAAGTAGATAAGTTGTGATGCAGAAAACCCCTTTTAAACACGCCGAATATGTCAAAGGTGAATGCACGTTATTTACAACCATCAGGAAAGAAGAGAATGACAATTTTAAAAATTGCAATGCCAAAGATGGTTGGACAACACCAACGAAATACAAAACGAAACCAGAAAACAATCAGACTTAATCGAGCGAACGGTAGTCGTGGTGATTTATAAGGTCTTAATTTGACGTAACTTTGATAGACAATTTAGACTCTAAGAACTTGACAATCTTCGGGTTTCGCCGCCATTTTGAGAGACCCTGCGCGCACTTCTGATTACAACTGTGACTCCAACTCCGTCATAAGTAATAAACCAGCCTTTAGAGGGACAAACTCAGGTCGACACTTATCTCCTGCTTGAACGTATATAACAAGGTGTTCACAAAACGGATAAAAGCGAAAAGTAATATCCAGAATCCGTCTTATGGCTGATCTGGGACATGACTTTGCCATCCATACATGGATTTTTCTGGCAAAACCTGATTCTTTAGGTGTAAACAAATTATTTGGGGCTGTTTGAAACGGGAATGGATTTGACAGATGTACAAGTAGAACTGAATATTTTGTATCACCGATTCAGAATAAGCCTAAAAACAGGAGGCGTTTTTCTGGGGGGTGAGGGTTAAAATTCCTAGAGATAGGCTAACAAAGTTCTGTTGGATAGGGTCGCATTTTCACGACTGCATCGACTTTTATGGTGTGGCATTTTCAGCTATTTTCAATAGAGTTACTAGAATGGGGTTACACTTTTTTTAGATTTTAATCCTAAGAAAATTATGGCAAGTAAGGATTTATAAACAGGAAGATTCATGGTAAAAAAGTAGTTACCGTATTTTAATATTTAATAAATGGCTCCCATTCCATTCCGATCTTTCCAGAAAACGGACAAAGATGGGGTCTATAATTAGCCACAACACAGGCTTCACATACCCACCAAAATATGACCCACGTACCCCCCCCCCTCGGTATTTCCATCACATACTCAAGTACTATAATTTCTATACTTGCAACAATGGTTTTACTTTCTTTCTTTTTTTTTTAACACCCTAGTTTACTGATAGAAACTTTACAAGTATATATCTCTTTAATACTTAAACCACGAGTTGGCCACAGGCACCCTTTGATTTGTCTTACTTACGGTATATGGGAGAAAGAAATATTGATAATGTTAATTATATCAATAAGAATGATTAGAAAGGAACTTTTGCGAGTTTATACCGTGCGTGTACGCTTCAACTATATTTGAGAGTAACAGAGAAGATCATTAGTAGAGGAAAGTAACGAGCGAAGAGTCTTCAGTCAGGGTCTTAGTCAAACAACCATTTTTCTACTTACTTTCTAAATTATGTCTCTTTTAAAAATAGCATGCTCTTGAAATACATTTTTATGAAAAATAACCTTCCACTTCTCTTTCTTCGTGCGCACGTGGTTTGAAGCTCGTCATTTTAGTTCGCCTTTGTGTTATCTACTTTTTACTCTGGTACCCGTATGTGGAAAATATCAGTCCCACAGCGAAAAATTTTATTTTCACTTCAGTATAAGCATATTGTCTGTTTTAATGTATAGGCAGAAGGCTGAGAAGTTGAGTGGAAAAGTACTTGAATGTTGGCTTTTGCTCTTCGTAACAATCCAAGAGCAATTTGCTTTATTTAGATTATTTCAAAGAAAGTGCAGGGGAAACCTTCCCAAAAAAATTGACGCAGTTAGGAAGGGCCTTTTAAGAGTTACGTATGAAACTGAAAACTCGATGGCAATTTCCTTTTTATTTCCTCTCGGAAACCCGTTCATGATTAATTCATTTTCAACGTGTATTCTTGTAATTGATAATTGCTCGATTGCTACAATACGTTGATAAGAGTACAGGTCACGGTTTGAATCCTGCCACCTTTGTGCATCAAGCTGAAATTGGTCATGGTCAAAGGTTGAACAATCAGTCCTATAGTTAAATCTGTCGTGGCCAGCGAGTTGTTAGATTTTGTGCAGAGTCGTCGCTTTGCTCTCACGGCAAATATTACCAGAATAATAAGGAGAATGGCAAGAGGACAGGTGAAGATGTTCAAAGCAGCTCTTACTGCCAACGCTGAATAAAATTTAGAAGATCGGAATATATGAATGGAAAAGTATTCCAGATGTTGGCGTCCATTCTTCGCAACACTCTAAAACTAGTCTGTGCTTTCTTTAAACGATTTGAATGAGAATGCAGGACAAAAAGCTTGCCAATAAAATGATGCATTCAAAGGGGATGGCCTTTGAGGACCAAAAACTGACAACTTGATGATAGTTTCATTCTGATTTCCTCTCGGAAGGCCTTAATGATTAATTTATTTTCAAGTTGTATTGTTGTGAATCGAGAAATGCAGTGAATGTAACCGAAATTATCCACAAGAGTGAATTGATTGAGAAACGATTACCAAAGAAACTGTTGTCGGTGTAAGCAGAGAGGTTAAAAGATCAAATCGAGCAAAAACAGAAATAAGGCTACATTAACCATATGGATGATGGGATGATCCTGCTAAGTAGAACAACCAAGATATCTTAGGGCAACACTAGTATAGCTTGATTGAGTCCAAACTGAAACCCAGGATGTAATTAAGGATAACTTTTTCACCTGTTTGGGTTTGTAAGTATGTTTAAGCAGCGCAAAATAGAGTGAGCAGCACTTGGGCCTTTTGTTACAATTTTTCTTTGTCGTACACAAAACGAACAAACAAGGGTGACGTAGTTTACGGCACGTTGTTTCTTTACAGCCTTGATTAGATCGCTGAGACTCTTTTCCCTTTCTGTCATTTACTGCATGACTATAACAACCTTTACAAAAAAAATTACAAAACTAACATTATGTACAATAGCAACGGTTGTTATTGATTTCTTCTCTACAAGTAAGAGGTTGTATTCAATGTTTTAAAGCGTATGCAGAACTTAGCCGACAATCCAAGATGACCTGAGTAGATAAGTGGAAAATTTTCTCAATGTTGGCGATTTTTCTTCGAAAAAAGAGCAGTTTGCACCTTCAAATTAATTTTATGCTGGAAAAAGGCTGTTTTTTTTTTCTTTCGGAGTTCCAACATCGAATTAATGAGACGAACCTGTAAAAAGTCTATCCATACATTTGTTGGGTTGCAAACCATAGAATTCTCGTTTTTCCTGTCTAATCTAATATATGACAAAGGTTGGATATTATCCGATTAGCCAGGTGTTATTATCCTTTAACTCATGGTCTCAGTAAACAGAGGTCAATGTTTTCTTTTCCGCCGGAAATGGAATCCAAAGGGAGATAAGTTTATGTTATTAACCTTTCTCTGAATAACCGAAGATGTAGGCGAACTTCCTTCGGGGCTTCTGTGATTTAAATTTAAGGTAAACGACGTATTTTGTTGTCGTTAAGCTGTTTGAGATTTTTTTTTTCATGATTTGTCTACGGTTTTGCTTAGATAAGATTTCAATTTGGTCTT